CCAAGGCGAGCGTAAATGTCATCGCGGATTGGGACCTCGTTCGCGTAACGACACGAGAGAGCGCGCGCGCGTGCGTGCAATGTGCGACTCTATTGTGCAGGCGAACGGCCACCCGAGCGCTCTGCGTCTCTTCTCTGCGACAAAGGCGCTGCTGAGCGCTCGAGCTCGTGATCGCGGCCAATTCGACAGCCGCGTCGACGATCATTGCTGCGTGGCCTGCCGAGACGCGCGCGTATCTCTCTCGACGTTCGATTAGACTTGACTGCCCTCGAAATCGTCGCTTGATCGCGCGGACACCACGACCGTTTGCCTCGATTCGCGATTGGACGATGCGACCGAACTCGCGGTTGATCGATGTCTTATCCAGCGTTGTGGACTCGATTGGACACGCGCTCGTACGCTGTTTGTTTTTCTCTTTTCGCGCGCAATTCGTCACGTCGCGGACCGCCGGGACGTCTATTCCCGTTACGAAAGATTGATTTCGCGACTCGCGCGTGCCGGGCGCGCGACAATTATACACGAACGACGTCCAAGCGAAGCTACCTGAAAGTTCTCTGGTTTTTTCATCGCAGCGCAAACACCTTAGTCCTTTTTAATTGAAAAGCGACCCTCCGCGCGAATGCAAAAAGAAAAAAAAAGACGGCTCTCGCGCAAAAAGCCACGTCGCGCGTGCGTGCATGTGTGCACGTGGCTTTCGTCGCGCATGCCGCACACACCCGAAAAAAAAAACTTGGCTGGTACGCGACTGTATATTGCTTGCGCGTTGAAATAAAAACGCTCTCTTTTTGATGTCTATCTGGCACGTGATTAAGCCGGACGTGATTTTACTTTATTTTAGTTATCTCTTTTTTTTTTATCTTCATACGAGCGCGAGCTTCGAAACCGCTCCACTACCTACGTATGAGTTTTTGTTTTCTTTTTTCGACGATGCTCAAGCCCGTATTTTTTGATTGCGTGCGTTGCGGAGATCGCGACAAATGAAATATTTTCGTCGAGCGTAATTGCCAAGGAGCGAGAGAAGCGCGAGCGTCGAAAGCGACTCGATGTTTCAACAGATAAGCCAGTGGATAAAAGTGTCCGTCGAAAACTCTCTCGTCAAAGTCAACGAAAGCGTTATGAGATGAAAAAGGACGATCGCGGAGAGCCAACTTATTCACCGCGGCTTCGTATCCGAGCCGTCGCTACGAAGAAAGTTGCGCGCGCAAAAGAGAGGAGAGAAAAAAAGAGAAGTCACGGCCACACGACTTTCGCTGGGCGTACGCAGCGTGCGAGGGCCATTAATCGGAACGGAAGGTGTCGAGCGCGGTTTTCAAGTGAAGATCAAGGCTTAAAAGTCGCGCGGAGGGGGTGGGAGCGACGTAAAGTTAAAGGTGAAAACTGCGAGAGTTGAGGCGCAGCGAGGTTAATTAATCACCGATTCTTATCTACGATTGTCTACGTTGGCCCCCACGCTACATCCACGGTTACTGTTAGTGCTACATACTTCTTATTCTGCTGATGAGGAAAAGTCGCATTGCCGCCATGTTATTACAGCAAAATCTCTCTCTCAGCATTGTCATTTCGCGAAAGAGAGAGAGAGAGAGAGAGAGAGAGAGAGAGAGAGAGAGAGAGAGAGAGAGAGAGAGAGAGAGAGAAACAAGCTTCGTAATATAAAGTAAATTGTATTTACGCTGGCAGAATGGGAAAGCGAATTGCATCGTTAATTCCGTTAACAATTGAAATGGGAACTCGACGTTGCCATCCCTTTCGCAAAGCAAAGAAAAACAGGGGTTAAAAACAAGAAGGGAATATACGCCAGACTAATTCCCGGGTGGCTATATCTGCTGCCCAAACGACGGAACAACGCGGGAATGAAAGGATACGGCTGCCGGAGACGGACGACGTTGGCGAATCGCGTTTAAGCCGCGCCTACAAACGCAGCTCTGCCTGCCGCTAAATCCATTAACCGGATCCGTAATTAACGTCCGATTTATTGCTCGCGATCGCGACCAGTCAGTCGATTGTGTTGGGCTTTACCTCCGCGACGCAGCGCCGCTGTTGTATTTGTACGGGGCACACACAAGAAGAGTTCACTCGCGCGACGCGTCGTAAAATGGCTTTAATTTCTGGTTTGATCCTGATTTTGCTGAAACCTTCGTGGAAAAGAAAACTCCGTTGAATTTTTGTTTTTTTTTGCATGTCCTATAAAAGTAAACATACTTCTTTGAAGAAGAAGAGGGCGAACCAGCACCATATGAATCAGCAATTGCAAACCGGAAACCCACGAGAAATACGCTTAAAACAGATTTACGAAAGTAATTAGCCTTTTTTTTTTCGAAGAAATGAGTCATATAGACAACTCGCGAACATTATCCCATCATTGTCATACTTGCAGTGGCGCCGCAGCAGACAATAAAGATTCCGCAATACTAACCTCTCTCTCTCTCTCTCTCTCTCTCTCTAATCTGAAGCAATGAGGATGTCTGTGCGAGATAGAGCTTGAATAACACGCGTTGGAAATTAATACCTGACAACCAAAACCCACGCCGCAAGAACAAGCCTTTACCTTCGATCATCGCTCTCTTTCGGAGTCTGTACAAGCCTTGGAGCACGCCCATGAGAAATACTTATCTCTCTCTCTCTCTGGTGGAAAGCGAAAGCGAGTTGTGAGAGGCGTCGGCGCGCGCGGAGGAGGATCGATCAATATATGCAGCCGGCGACGGGACCGGATGTCCCGGAAAAGACGCGTCTGTCGCGCCGCGCGAACTCGCCATGCGGACATTTCCCTCGTGTGCCATACAGAACTGAATTTAAAAAGCACACACACTTACGTATACTGTCCGACAGGAGAGGGATTGCGCTACGTGCGTGCACGCGTGCGCGTGTGTGCAAACGGCGATATTTTTATCCGCGCCTATACTGCGGGGGTTGCGTTTTCGTCATGTGGCACGCGGATGGATACATTCTCGTGTATTTTGTATTGTCGGGATTTTTCTTTTACTATTGCTGGAGCCACCGCGAGATGTGATTGAACTTTGATTTTGGTTGATTGGCATGGTGTTTTTTGAGCGTATTCAAATACACTTTCGAAAGCTTTGTTAACCTTCACGTGGATTGTATTTGACTTCTTGAGTACGTAATAGTGTGAACATTCTTCAATGAAAGCCATTGGCCTGTCTTAAAGGAAAAAGAACTGTAAAACGCTTTGAAGCTGTAAAAAGCGATCAACAAGAGGCATTTGGAAGACGTTTATTCTCGTTAACACGTAGAGCCGCTTAAGCACACGCAAACCGCAGCAAATCCACAAGCAATAAACTCCAGTGCGAAAGCTCTCGACTGCAAACCACCATACCCGATGTTCCGCGCAGTTTGCCAGGTCTGCGCGTATACGCGCAGTGCAAACCGTATTTCATTATGATGATACACTTTGAATTAAAGCAAACATGCCAGCAAAGGCTCCGGAAAAACGAGAGGAAGTTTTTCAGAAAGATCAAAAAGCCCTTCTCGGCAAATTATTAATGCCACAGAGCAAAAGACACACCGGGAACTTCGAGCTTCTAAAGAGAGCCGGAGACGACGACGACGACGATGACCACAGGAGGAAAATCGTTGCATTCGCCGAACGACTTTCCAACCGAATTGGCTTTCAAACGGTGCTGTGCGCAAGACCTTAAAGATTCTCAACCCTCGTATGCGTTACGAGCAAACCCATTGCTTCTTCTTTTCTGCGTTTCGCACTGATTTATTCGATTGGTTTAGCTTATACTTTGTTTTCAGTGTGCTGCCAATGATATGATCGAGTTACGACCTCTCTCTCTCTCTCTCTCTCTCTCGTAAAGGATTCTCTTCGAGGCTTGGCGCGTTTTCAATTCCACGAGTGCGTGAGCGCGAATATACATGTATACCTTAAGTAGAAAATGTTCGCTGTATTGTTTTAGTTTTTTCACGTAAAACACTTGTCGTAGCGTGCACGCGTGCATATGTAATATCAGTCGAATAACTAAAGCTATAATTAGCAATCCGAAAGGAAACCGACACTGCCGACCTGGAAATAAGAGTACAGCGGAAGGATCCAATTTCGTGTCGCATAATACAAAGCAAAATGCGCGTGTTCGTCATATCCACGTCGGACGTGTAGCGCTGACGAGCGCGCTACTTGAATCTTCCGCTCGTACCACCGTGGCGCGTGGACTAAATCGCGACGACGACGATGACAACTTATCTGGAGATATCCGCTGTCGATGAGCAGGCCTCTCCCGCGGTATGCACGCGCGACGGTTGCGTCGCTTCCGATTTGCGAGGAACTGGGAGAGAAAAAATTCCACTTAATTTATGGATCTCGCAAGAGAGAAAATACACCGGACGCGTCTGTTGGACTCTCCCACGTAGGCGCGTTATGGCACCTGACTTCATCATTCGCCTTATTATCCTGCCATGCACATATCCCGTAATGGCTTTCCGTTCAATCTGTCTAGCCGCTGTGAGTAATTGCCTCTCTCTCTCTCTCTCTCGGCTACATTATTCATACATCGCGCACGAGAAGACCTACTTTAACAAGTCACACGCCGCTAACGTGAATTCGTGTAAGATGAAGGAAAGAGCACAGTTATTGGTCGCGATTTGTCTTACACGAAATGACGCGGAGTTTATAATTGACCTACTCAGAGATGGATTGATTCGGTTGGTCCTTAGAAGCGCATCGTAGTTGAAATAAATTTCGGGCCATGTGCTCTCCTCGCTGTGCACGGAAAGTAGCTCCAACATAAATATACACGCCAAGCGATTCTTGCAGTGTGTTTATAATACCTTCGTTGATCAATCGTTACGTATATACCGAGAAATTATCGATCTCACTGTACGCGTCAATGGCATAAGAGCCATTGGCTCGCTGTGTGATCGATGGTCGTTACGTTGCGCCAAGTTTTTTTTGCATCAGACTGTCGCAACTGGCGTCGCTGTGCCAGTGAGATCATTGCTACTGATATTCCAGATTGAAAACGGACGAATTTGTTGAGTTGCAGGTATCGAGGTCGGCGGACTTGGCCATTGAGATCCCGGGTAATTTGAGCCAAGGCGGAGCATGGTACAGGCTCGATTACACGCCGAGGGTTGGGCATCCACCGCCTAACTCGACGATCGCCGCCACGGAGATCGGCGACGTGATAAAATTTCGCGACGGCCTGCCCGGCACTCGCTACGAGTACTGGCTCTACTACAGCAACGAAACGCTTCACGACTGGCTGACCTGGACGGCATCTATTACCACTGGTCAGTTCCAATTCTTTTGTGAGATGTTGCAGGGCATTACTAGGCTTTGCACTCTCTTTCTCTCTCTAATCGATCTCTAACACTTGGCTCTCAATGACGATATTTCGGCGCGCACGCATGAAATAGAAAAAGGCGCGTTCTCTTTAGTGGAGCGCGATGGATTTGCGAGGCGAAATTTCGGCTTGTGGGTCGCACAGCTCTGCTGCTCGATGATGTCAATTTCCTTGCGGCAGCCCGCGCGCCGCTTTAACATACATATACCGCCGAGTCGACAATTGATGAGCCGTGGCGGCGGCGCACGCTCGTCGCCAGAATTATGATCCAACTGACCCCAATTGTTGCAAATACAAGCGAATTTCGAGCGTAGTTATTAATGTCATTTGTTCATTTTGCTTTGAGAATGTGACGTTAGCGATTTTTCTTTTGTTGGTATTCATTAAAATAATATTGCAATGCTTGGTTGAATTACGTATGGACGATTTAATTAGAAAAATCGATGTTACCTTAACAGTACGTTACTCATTCGTTGACCCAGTAACGTCAAATTAAACGATTCTCTGGTAAAGCGAGCAACTGTAATGCATCTGTTTTACAATTGATTTTCGTGGAACAAGTCCGAAAATTGATTTTCTTGGCACCTACACACGGTCAATCCGGGTAAGAGCCGTTCACCTATTTCCGTCGATTGCCAAAAATCTTCTTGGCTGCTCCCGCGTGTGCGATCGGACGAATGATCTCATTCGCGAGGAGAGTGAGTTTTTTACGCGCCAATGAATCGAGATAAAAATGCGAAACCCGAGCCGATTGCAAGGAGCGTGCGACGACAAGGCGTTTTCCTCATTAGTCGCCACTCTTTATAAATTCTTAGGCGAAAGTTAGCTGGCTGGTATTTTCATTGGAACGTCGTGATATAATAGCCCACTTTCGAATGAGCAACTTGAAAATGACAGAAACGAGGCGCGAAGCATGCAACGAGAACGAGTCAACTGAAATGCAAGGAAGCAACGTTATTGAAATGTGCTTGTGCGTGGACTTATATCGCATGATGAATGGCACTTGGCAATCGTCAAGCAGACAAAATAAGCTTGCGCCGACGGCCGAGTCTCGTCGATCGATCAACGTCAATTAAGCTGTAACGAGGGCTATATGTAAATTCACATATCGATTTTGATTTTCGCAGCACCGGATCCGCCGTCCAACCTGACGGTGTCGGTGAAGAGCGGCAAATCGGCGGTTGTACACTGGGAGCCACCTCGCCACGGGAATTATTCGGGCTTCCGCTTGCGAGTACAGAGTTTCAATGACGCTTCGAATCCTTGGACTTCGGTTATACCAGCGGACGCTGCTCCCTACACTCTGCGCGACCTCACGCCAGGCGCCACCTACTCCCTTCAGCTCTTCACGGTCCTCGACACCAAGGAGAGTGCCGCCTACACCAGCAGAAACTTCACTACCAGTCAGTACAGTCACCCTTCCTTTATGTTCTCGTACACCCTTTCTTTTACGTTTTTTTTTCCTCAGCGAGTCTGCATCGAAGCACTTGTTTCTCCTTTTTGTGCGGTAACATTCGTCGAATATGCGAATTGACGAAACGCACTGACAGGAATATAACGAATGTTTGCATGCGCAGCTTGCGAATGACAATAATTGAAGATAATGATGCTTGTCAGGGAGAATTGTATGGAAGTTGAAACGACGCACGAATTGTATTTTCCACAGAGCCGAACACTCCAGGAAAGTTTATCGTCTGGTTCCGCAACGAGACGACATTGCTAGTGCTGTGGCAACCGCCTTATCCAGCTGAAATTTACACTTATTATAAAGTTAGCATAGATCCTCAAGATGCCGCTGAATCCGTCCTCTACATTGAGAAGGAATCAGAACCACCGGGACCGGCTCAGGCAGCTTTCAAAGGTCTTATTCCTGGTAAGCCTCTTATACATTTGTATTTAATTGAGCGCCCTTCTCTCGTAATCCTGAGCGATGACAACTCCATCTTTAATTGCTTGTCTTCTCCTCTTCTCTCCTTTTCGTTTGCCCTTGTCAATTCTACATGCAAATATTCGGGAGGATCCTTTGTTCGCCGGCCTCCTCGCTGTTTACATTTATTTATGGAATACATATTCATTTCGACGAAAAAACATTTGGTATTTTTCTTTCTCAAGAGATTCGTTGTTTGTTAACAGAAGTATATAGTTGTAATTTATCATCGGTAGCTCATATATTTTAGTTTAAAAACTCGACCAACGATATTATCGTTCGTCTGTTGTGCGAGGCTATATGAGAAACCTGATTTATCGAGGGAAATTTTTATTTTTTTTTTCATTGATTTGCACTAAAAAGCACAGATGTCTAACACTTAAAAGCTGTGAACCATTTTTCATTCCTGCTGACATGCGAATTAAAAATTTATTATTGTCCCCATTGAATACGAGTGAAAAGTTGTAATTAATTGTTTCAATACATTTTTTTTTACCTCGACATTTTTGTAGTGATATTTAGAGAACCATGATATTAATTCTTCAAGCGCAGATTTCACTTGTGAGAATAAGCTGATGCTTCGTTAATTTTAACAAATATATTGCTTCACAGGTCGAGCGTACAACATTTCGGTACAAACAGTATCCGAAGACGAGACATCAGCACCAACAACGGCTCAGTATCGGACAGTGCCGCTTCGACCGTTAAACGTAACGTTCGACAATTCGTCTGTGACGTCAACGTCATTTCGGGTATTCTGGTCGCCACCCAATGGCACTTCTGAGTTCGACAAATACCAGATTTCCCTGGCAGGCAATCGACGTTTCACCCCTGTAACGCGGAATCGTGAAGACGACACCAAGTGGGACTTCAAGGACCTCGAACCTGGCAAAACTTACCAAGTCGTTGTCAAAACTTTCTCGGGAAAAGTCTCTAGTTGGCCTGCTAGCAAAGATGTGACGCTTAGTAAGTATTCTTTATGTAAATTATCATATTCTGACGGTCGAACAACTAGCTGAAGCTTTTTATTTCAGTTGAAAGTACGACCTTCACTTAGGTGATAATATACGTCGTGAAATGGCAGTTTTTATATCACAACGTCGAACCGAGATAAAATGCATTAAAATGCCTTGTGATTTAAGACCTACGTTAAAAGAAACTGAATAACGGTATAATTCAAGTCTCATGTTTAAGATAAACTCGTATTAAAATATTTGGAATAAATTTTCGTGTCACTATTCTTATAGCCTCGCCCTCATTCATACCATATTGTAAATAATCGTTTGAAAAAAGTTGTCTTTTTCGCTAAACAACAATTGATTTTGCTAATCAAGATCGATGAGTTGTTAACTTTTATGCTAAGTTGTTTTGAGAAGTTTGAACAGTTACCTTTTTACATCGCATTGTCTGAAACTCATTAATGTAGCGAATCTAAATAGATGCGAAGTCTTTTGGATTCGCTCTTGATTTATTTCGCCTTGCGACACTAATAGGATTTCGTTCATCTGCCTTTCGAAGTCTTGGCTGGGTGTTACGATATACGAAGTCTAAACTTGATGCGAGTTATAGAAAGTTTTAATGGCTTTTTTGTGCCGAAATATCACTTTACTTTTATCTAGTCAACTTAAGCACTAAAACATTGAAAGCTGTAACGAAATTAACGTTTTATACTTTATGCTTGATACTGATAAGATTCTTTAGGATTATCTTTTAATTTAAATAATAGAATATTTCTATAACATATTACTATAAAGATTAATTTTGAAATTATTCCAGGACCCCTGCCGGTTCGGGATCTTCGAGCGGATATTGACGACCGCACTTGGATGGTCGAAGTTTCTTGGAGTCCAGAAAACACCAGCACACAAGATTCCTACAAAGTCGAATATCACGAAGTTGAAGGAACTATTGGCGGTGACAGTAATTTCTTAATGACCAACAAGACAAGAGTAAGTTTTTTCTCGTTGATCCATAAATAACACACTGAAAGGATTTTAGTCATTTCGACTAGTAGCTTTTACGTCAATAAAGATACAAAGACTCTCAATAAATTGTATTATTATCTACTAATGCAAAAAATTTTCAATAAACCATTTATTATGCACAAAGGCAGAAAAAAAATACTTCGCAAGATAGAGAAGTCGCTGTAGAAAATCTCATCACTCAACCAAAGCACTCAAAAGAATAATCGTAAAAACGTTTTATTCCTTTACAGACAAGTTGAGTTTTTCACGTAGTAAAGATATGTAGTCTGTTCTTTTCAAGTGTCTTTGTATGTACAGAAATTAAAAATGAACTAAGATCGTGAGAGATTTTTTTCAGTATAAATAATATTCTTGAAATTGTCTCGGTAATTCATGAAAATTAAATCATTTGCTTAACTTTTCAGATAACCCTAGAAGCTCTACTGCCAGGCCGAAACTACTCAATAAGCGTTCAGGCGATCAGCAATAAGGTCGAGTCAAACGAGACCATCCTCTATCAAGTAACCAAACCTTCAAGCCCGATAATTGAGGATCTAAAGCCAATCGAGAGGGGTCTGAACATTTCGTGGAAGAGCGACGTCAATTCGCGTCAAGAGAAATTCGAGGTGACTCATAATCGCAACGACACGGGTGAGAGCGCGACAACTTTGACCACAGAGTCACATATCGTTCTCGAGGATCTTTACCCTGGTGCCGGCTACGAGGTCAAGGTCTTTGCTATAAGCCACGGTCTCAGAAGCGAACCCCACGCCTACTTCCAAGCTGTCCGTAAGTGTCGTCCTTTGTTATTCATCTGCACCTGCACCGATTCCGTTTTTTCGCGTTGTGCGACAATGACTTTTACGCCGCTTGAATGTTTTTCCATCTCTTATGAACGGACCGTTAATGGTATTTTTATACAAATATATTCAAAAATAGTTTCATGGTTTTTTCTGACAATGCCGGTATAATAAAATGAAAATGGCTGTAGCAATTATTTCAATTTCCACTTGCTAATTGACAATTATTTTGTTCAATTGACAGTGCCACATCCACCGAGAAATCTGAGTATCGAAAAAGTTACGAGTAATACAGTGCTGGTACACTGGGAAGCGCCTATCGATTCAATATTTACAGAATATGCAATAAGATATAGAACAGAGGATGATCCACGCTGGGTAAAACTTCCAAGTGTGAAGGAAACAGAAGCCGAAGTTGCCGATATGACGCCCGGAGAGCGTTATACCATACAGGTCAATACTGTGAGCTTCGGCGTCGAAAGTCTCTATCCACTGCAAGTCAATCATACTATTCGTAAGTGTCGTACTGTGTTAAAAAAAATTCACATCTGTTCGTTACAAAGAACTAATGCAAATTCTTAATATTTAAAGGTCCAAATCCGGTTCTTAATATAACACCCGTAATCGATTCGACGAATGTGACACTCGAATGGCCGCGTCCCGAAGGTAGAATCGAATATTATGCTCTCAAGTGGTGGCCTATGGATATACCAGAGGGTATTCGTGCAAAAAATGTGACGGCAAGTAGTGAACTATCAAGTATCGGTTACGAGGATGGAGTCACTGTAAACATCGAAAGGATTCTCGTTGATGAACTGATCCCAGGAGTAGAATACTTTTTCACTGTCTACACGGTATCCTATGATCTCGTTAGTGATACCTCGAGCCTGAAGACCCGCACGAGTTAGTTAATATTTTTATTCTCTTTGAACGGTTTACTAATTAACGAAGGGATTTAGATCCGGTGAATTAGCATGAATTATTTGTAAATATGATTTCATTTAACATATATGAAACCATGTAAACCCATTTGTGCATTCTTATGAATGCTTAAATATTTTCGAAAGAAAGACTCATTGACTAAATTTTTCGTCAAAAAAAGGAAAAAAATAGAAAAAAATAGGAAACTTATTGAGCTTGTTGTAATGCTTCAATTGTACATTTATGATTATCAGTTGAAAGCATCATCGATCATTACGACGTTTAACAAGTATCATTTTCATAATAATTAAATCTAACTCATATCAAGTAACTAACATAATTAATGAAAACATCGTCATCTATATCATTTTTTATCCTATACTAATATATATACATTTTTACAATGCTCTCGTAACGCTTGTAAAGGTGAAAAGGAACTGGGAACCGATCAAGGTACATTTTTTTTTCGTAAGTGTCGTACCGCATATACTAACATTAAGTAGTAAAATGTAACGCGTAGAACTAACAAAGTATTTTAGAAAGTGTTAACGTAAACAGCACAGAGAACAGCATGGCTTATAAACAAAGTCCACGTGTCGCGTGCGAAAATAATGAATCTATATAGTTAATAAAATTTGCAGCGATGGAAATTTTTCGTTTTCGCTTTTCCTTTGGCAAATCGTACAATACCATGGGTAAATTATATAAATGATATCGATAAACTCACTTTCGTGCAGATTAAGAATGAAAAATTGTCATAACAATTATAATCAACGTCACGTACACACGTTTTATTCATTATCGCAAGCGATACACTGGTATACACACTCTCATTGTAGAATACATGTGCTTGAATGTTGCATCGTGAAACTGTTGCTTGGCGTGTCGTAGCGCTAGTAGTACTCTCTTGGCAACTCAAGAGCTGCGCAATGACAGGTATGCTCTAATGCGAGGCGTTTTTATTTATCGTCTGTCTTCCTCTTACGCTCTGTTCGCGCGACGCACAGTGCCGCTGATTCAATCGGAGGTAGTATTGGCGGTCGACAGCAACCAGCCGGACTCGCTGACTTTGCGCTACACGCCGACGCCCAACGGCGAGTCGTCGCGTTTTGATCTCTACCGTTTCCGTATCAACAACGCCTTCAACACCACTCAGGAACGTATCGTCAACGATACCGACACCAAAGTCAGATTTACTGGGCTCACACCCGGACGACTCTACAACGTCACTGCTTGGACTATTAGTGAAAACGTCGAAAGCAAACCACTCGTCCGTCAGGATCGACTATGTGAGTTCTTATTTCTCAGTCAATGTTTACCATACATGCGTGATGTTTTCAATGCGTCTCGTTATTATCAGTTTCGTTTGTTCTTGCTAGAACCTATTACATTACTTTAATATCTGTTTTCCAAGCTAAAATATTACCTTGAGATCTAATCTTGCTACCTTCGCTTTTAAACTAATACAAGCGTTTGCAGCAATATACTGTGTGTCTATTTGCAATTTACATCATCGTCACAAATATCTGACAAATTTATGTTTACTTACATGAAAGATAATACTTTGTTGACAGTTGACAATAGTTACTTAGTAGTAGATTCTTACAATTAAAATGCAATTACAGAGTTACGTAGTTAAAGTTTTTACAAGGTAATGAACGTAAAAGTGAAACTATAAGCAATAACGTTTTTTTTTAGAAATTAATACCACGAACGTAAAATTGCCATTTTCATAATTTTTTTTTGTTTGATAAACAAAAAAGATCTTGATCTATAATTTACAGATTATTCATAAACAATTATTGAAACTACTGTGCAATTATCTTCGGGGAATCGTTGAAATCGTAAAGTCACCAGTAAAAAAGAAATCAGGAAAACATCAAGTTCATATATTTACACAAATCACGCAACATAAGACCAATGAGATTCTCTTTTTTTCCTCACTTTCTCATCAATTTTCAATGAACGTTTCTCGTCAGATCCCGAGCAGGTCACGTCGATCAACGCCACTGAAATCAATGGCACGAGCATCACCTTAGCCTGGGACCCACCACGCGGTGAATACGACTCCTTCCAAGTGCAATACATAAATGCTGACAACATTTACGTCCAGAACATCACGTCGTCTAACAGCATAACCATTACTGATCTCAAACCACATCGCAACTACACGTTCACGCTCGTCGTGCGTTCTGGCACTGAATCCAACTATCTAAGACTGTCAAACCCAGTGAGTGCGAGCTTTACCACGAGTGAATCGATTCCCGGCAGAGTTGACAAGTTTCATCCGATAGACATTCAACCCAGTGAAATTAGTTTTGAGTGGTCGCTGCCCAGTCAAGAACAGAATGGCGTTATTACCAAGTTTAGCATTGGTTACAGCTTGGAGGTGCGTCTTTTGTAGTGATAATTTTTCATTTGTACTTGTGGTTACTTTTCAAATTATAATCATGTTAAAATTCAAATTGAAAATTCTTTCAATGCTTTGAATAATCTTGGACTAGGTTCATAGAGTTCTTTAAGATACTTATCTGAAACGTTCAATAAAGCCTGTTAATTAGAATTGCTCTTGTTGTGTCAAAAAAAATGGCTGTGATTAAATGTAAGACATAGTTGGTATTCAATATAATAATTATTCCATTGAATCATACATTCATAAATAGTAAACAATATATATATACTTTATTCAATGCATGCATGGTTTTACTATGAACTGAACACATTAATTAAACACATAACAGTAATTAAGTCGACGCCTAGAAGCTAAATAAAATGAAGTGAAGTAGTCGCAAGTAAACAATAAGCTATAGTGACGGTAGTTTTACGTAACCACGCTCCCACATGTTCTGCTACAGCCGTCGACGCACATGCAGTACCGAGACTTCGCAGCAAATGAGTTCCGTGGCACCATCAAGAACTTGATCCCCGGCAAGACTTACGTTTTTCGTATCCAAGCGGAAACTCGTGTGGGTTACGGCCAAGCGGCCGTTTGGAAGCAGAGTATGCCCATCCTCGCACCACCAAAGCCTGCTTCGCAAGTTGTACCGACCGAAGTATGCCGGACAAGCACTACCATTCAAATTAGATTCCGCAAGAATTACTTTAGCGAGCAAAACGGTGCCATTACTTCGTATACTATTATCGTCGCCGAGGACGATAGTAAGAACGCCAGCGGTCTCGAGATGGCAAACTGGAGAGACGTGCAAGCTTACAGTATTTGGCCGCCTTATCAGGTAATTTGCTACGCTTTCTTTGCTCGATTACAATTTATCGCTAGTCTTGCTCATAGTGCGCATTTCTGCGTGATTTCTCAGTGGCATTAAGCTACTTACTCGATTAGATGTTCCATTGCCATTGCAAACGTCGAATGTTTAAGCGTCAAAAAGTTATCCACTCGACACAAAAATTCAGGAATAAATCAACTATTTTTGTCATGTCTGACATTGATATTACTATTCGACTTTGCAACTACTCGAGGTCGTTGGTAAATAAAAGAAAATGTTCATTGTTACTTGAACATTTAGAATGAAAAGTTAATGCATTATTTTTATTCTTCCTTATGCGCTCTCGATGCATCTAATCTCAATTGATTAAAATTGGATTTTCGTAATAAAAATCTTCAATGCAATATTTACAGCGGAAAATAATGATTGATCCATTTAACAAGACAATCTTGTAGATATTAGCAATTTCATAATCTCGATAAAAAAATTTAAGCACAACTCAATTTCTTCAATAACGATATGAAATAAACGTTTAGGTGATGGAACCGTACTATCCTTTCAAAAATAGCACCGTCGAGGACTTTACTATTGGTACAGAGAATTGTGAGAACAAGAGCGGCTACTGCAATGGACCTCTTAAATCTGGTTCGACATATCGGGTGAAAGTGCGAGCATTCACGGCACCCGAAAAATTCACAGACACTAGTTACAGTTTCCCCATACAAACCGGTGAGTATCGTCATATTGATTAATGAGCCATATACACTTTACGATTAAGAAATACCGACAGTTAATAATCTTGATATTTTTTTATACAAGTTTTACTTCGCCAATTTTTCTGATGATTTTTCGCCGGTATGTTGTCCGGCTCATCAGATCGTATGCACATTGTCAATTAAATTACATAATCGTCAAACATTGAGAGAATAATAAAACTCTGGTCACAAAAGTAAACTGTGCATGTTGCAAATTCAAAACTTGTATGTTTTTTTTTGCATTGTCTCCAACTGTTGTTTTGTTAACTTCATTTTATAGATAATATATATTAAAGCCTAAGGCTATTAATAAGTGCCGATTGACTGAACACGTCAGCTGTTACCATGTGCCCAATTCACGTACATATATCATATACTGTCATATGATAGTATCTCACCTGACTATGTTCAGCCAATCAGATCACGAATAAAATGACTTTACTCGGCAGACTATCACTTTTTTATATAGGGATTTATGCTCATTGTGTTTCAAAGGGTATTTTCAATAGCATACTTTTAGTAATTTGAAATGTCAAAATTAACTTGTGCAAGTTTTATTTTTTTTAACAAGCTAGTTTGTTCCTTTAAGTGTAGTTAATTCGAAAATATTTTATGATGATTTGCTAAACAAACTTTATGTGTAGGACAGAAAAGGGGTATATGGTGTGGATAAGAGATAGAGTAAAAAATTCTTTACAGATACTTGTGTTTCAATGTGAATTTAAAGTTTTAATAAAATTAAAGTATTCCAAGAGAAAAACCGACTAGGCGCGCGAGTAAACATTACGAGATTACGTTCACACAACCACAGTAAAGATCTATCCCGAAAAAATTCATGCTTCATTATTTCGTGCGCATGCCTCGCCTAAAGGATTGCTGTTGGCAGGTAAGCTAATCAACAGAACAAAAAAGAATAATAAATATGAAGCATCCCCCTCTTTGTTCTCTGCCAATGTACCAAACAGAAACAAACAATAATAATAATAATACTCATATAAAACATCACACGGCTTTATATATACAGTGTGTGTACAGAAAGCTAAAATAATCACAATACCATTGACACACATACGCGCTTGCTACGAAAAAAAAGAAAACACAATTTCAGACTCTCGCATTGCCATGCACGTTGCTTTTGGTTTTCGTCATTTCGATGTCGTTCGTGAAGTGTTTAAATACGAAAAGAAATCGTGCAAATCTGCTCGCGCGACTGACATACTAAAAGTGAAATCGAACTTTTGTGACGAACAGATAAGGACAACACGGCAATCATTGTGGGAGTGACGGTGCCAATCGTGCTGCTGCTAACCCTGCTCGGCATCGGACTGCTAATCAGGCGGCGCAGGAGCCAAGGACGCAAAACCACCGAGACCCGTGCGACCGATGACCTCTCGCTACCCGACAGCGTTATTGAAACTAGGTAAAGCATCGCTCTTTTTGTGTAATTGGCTGAACGTTGCACTTCTTCAACTACATACGCAATTATATTGTGTTTTTTTTTACTTATTGCTACAAATCATTTATTGCTGCTCTGTGCGTTTACAAAGATTTGTTATTTATTAACGACTGCTTTGGTAAAGAACTTGAATGCAAAGTTACAATTTATTGTTTTTTCATTTTTAATGCAAGTTTCATTGACAAGTTCAGCTGTGACAATGAGTCACTGGTATACGTTGTTTGCTATTCTGAGAATTCAATGTAACCGACACACCTCAGTTTTAATTAAAAATCTTTAAGATATGCATCGATTTCACTTCCCTGTGAATGATTACTAAATCTGAGCATTCCGAATTGATAAATTTCGTATTTTTATATGCAAATTTAAGCACTTATTCTGACGCAATTTTTGCCTTCAACAGTCGACCAATCAGGGTAGACAATTTTGCGGAGCACTATCGCATAATGTCCGCGGACTCGGACTTCCGCTTCTCGGAGGAGTTCGAGGAGTTGAAGCACGTAGGACGTGATCAACCTTGCACTGCAGCGGACTTGCCGTGCAACAGACCGAAAAATCGCTTCACCAACATTCTTCCGTATGACCATAGCAGATTCAAACTTCAGCCCGTTGATGATGAGGAGGGTTCGGACTACATTAATGCCAATTACGTACCAGTAAGTATTTGTAGTTCAGAAAGAAACCCTATGATATATGCCTTGCGGAACTTTTTTATGTTTCTACCGTGTTTACCCATGGAACATTGTTTTGCAAGGAAAAATAATTGTCAGGATCCACATTGGATTGCGTTTATCCAGCAATAGCCAAATACTAAACCTGACAAACAAAAAAATAATTGTAAAGTAGTGAATCTTGAAAAATAAAGAGAATTTTCTAAAGATCAGTTGTTTTGCAGGGGCACAATTCGCCTAGAGAGTTCATTGTTACACAAGGTCCTCTTCATTCGACGAGGGATGATTTTTGGAGAATGGTTTGGGAAAGCAATAGCAGAGCTATTGTTATGCTTACTCGTTGCATCGAGAAAGGTCGTGAAAAGTGCGATCACTACTGGCCAACGGACACTCTTCCAGTTTATTATGGAGACATATCTGTCACTATTCTCAATGAGACACACTACTCTGATTGGAGTATCACAGAATTCATGCTCCGCAGAGTAAGTGTACTGATATTCGTGAATTCGAGCTTGGAGAAAATTTCAACTCGAGAAGGCTATAATTAAATTCACCGGTTTATTCACAGGGTGACGTGAAACGAATAATTCTACATTTCCATTTCACAACCTGGCCCGACTTTGGCGTTCCGTCACCTCCGACAACTTTGGCTCGTTTTGTGCGCGCATTTCGCGAGCGCGTCAAACCTGACCAACGTCCGATAGTAGTGCACTGCAGTGCTGGAGTCGGTCGTAGCGGTACGTTTATCACACTCGATCGTATACTCCAACAGATCTTGGTTAGCGACTACGTGGACATATTCGGCATTGTGTGGGCGATGAGAAAGGAGCGCGTCTGGATGGTGCAAACTGAGCAGCAGTACATTTGCATACACCAATGTCTCTTGGCGGTGCTCGAGGGTCAAGATAATGCCGGTCCACCCCGGGAGATACACGACAATCAGGGCTTTGAAGGTAGTGACAGTTTTTACAGAGATTTGGTCTTTTTGCCTGGAGCTCCTACTGAGCTCCTCTTATTAATTTCAGTGCTGATCATAAGTAATGCTAAGAATAACGATTTACTTATCTGTTTTTCTTTGATCAATCTAAGAGAGCTTTTATTGCTGTTAATTTTAACATGTAGAGTTAGCTAATGTGGCAATGTGGATTATTTGACGTTTTTTTCTGAAAGTTTTCATAAGTTTATTTTCGAATACTTTGAATATATTTTTTATCAATCTAAATTGAAATTAAAAAACGTACTTACAAATTCTATTGTATTAAGTTAAACTATGCAACTTTGCACTGAAGTTATTAATATTGCTCTTACTTAACGCTGGAAAAGGTTTTTTTTTTTAATTTTGAAATTTCAAAATAATCGCAAAAGTGGAACTAACTCTATGTATTGCTCACAGCTGCATCATATTCTTGTGGTGTATGGTTCCTTTTAACTTTTTTGCACATTTTGAATGAGTAAATTGAAAATTATTTTATTTTCTTACGAACATATTTTATTTATATGATTTATTCGGTTCTTGTTCTTAATTTTTTAAATGAGTTCATTATTCGTAATGTGAATAAATCTTAGAGAATTAAGTTATGAATAAAGATATGATTTTTTAATTCTCACGTGAAATATTTGAAATACAAATTTTTTCTCTTATGAAATGTTTATATTTTCTTCATAGTAAATTTTTCTTTAACTTGATTCCAATAATTCACTTTCTGAATCTAGGAAAGAATCAAAATTCGGTCGAGAGCACAAAAAGCCTAGATGAGGCTGACAGTGAAAATGAAAACGAGTCGGATGATGAGAATGAAACTGAAAAAGAAAATGATAATGATCATAACAGTCAAAATGAAAATGAAAGAGTTCTCAGTAAAAAAGATACTGACGACGAAAATAATGTCGATGACGATGATGATGATGATGATGATGATGATAATGATAATAAATCATTTAGCAATGATAATGAGAACGGAAATGAGAATGAAAACGAGTCTGAAAATGAAACTGAAAATGAAAATGAACTTGAAAACGAATATAAACCTTTGAAAGAAAACGATAATGATAATGAAAAGGACAGATGACATTCGAGCAGCGAGTACTACTCCGACGGTAACTGTTATTCTAAAACTCAGAAAGATTGCTCGTTGCTTAAATTTTTTTATTCTATGTACTTGTCGAGTTTGCACGTTGTTTGGTTTTTTTGTGTTGCGTATTCTGATGTACCCGATTTTCGAGTGTTTTGTTGTTGTGGAATGAAGCATGCTTTTTTTTATCACTGTATATTTTTATTATTTTTGTATTTAACTATAAACTAAAATTATAAAACTATGTATCGATCATCAAGTGACTATAACTAATGAATAATTTTTATGTAAAATTATTGGAATGGAGATTTTCGCTGTGATTTATAAAAGATTAGGATTAAAATTTCTATTCAAATACAATAGCTTCTATATTGTATGAAATATATCTTAAAGATAGTTTCAAGTTACTTAGTAGCACAATATAAAGTAGTAGAGTATTGCATGACATACATCTATAAAAAATTTCAAAATCTATATAAAATTATTTAAAGGTAATTGATTATAACTTGGAAAATTCTTGTTTCAAAATAGTTGAAAACTCAGAACATATTATTGAGCACATGAACAGAAAAGTTTATCAAGACATTATTTTCTCAATGATTTTTATTTCATTAATATGTTTTTAAACTTATTTTTTTAGCTTGTTTGACAAGCAAAAAAATATTTTCGATTCTATTTAATTGGTTTATCAAATAGTTCTTTTATAAATATTGTATCATAATATTACAAATCATGAAATGCTTTACAGACAAATTCGCTAATTACTGTGATTTCATTCAATTTTATTGAAATGCTCAAAAATATAAAATCTGCCGTGCATGTACTTATTTTGGTTGCTGAAGCCTTGTTTGTCAAAAAAGAATTACCTTAGAATAAGTTGTGTAACCTGGCTGCAATTATTATTACAGATGATGAAGGTATTGCGGAGTCAGGAATATAATGAACGTGAAAGACTGATACCAAGCATCTCAAGGGATGAGGTGTTGCTGAACGAGATCGAGGAAGAAGAGGATGATGACGGAAATGTATCGCTCGGGTTAACGTCACAATCCGAATTGACAAGGCATGAAAGTTCTGAGGACATTCCGATTGATTCATCACCGCTAATTATTCGGCATCGGCTAAATAGGTGACAAAGCGATGTCGTTGAAGCAACGACGCCTGTGTGAAGCATTCGATTTTCGATCGAAAAAAAAGCAGCAGTCTCCGTCCATTTTGCGGACGTTCAATAGAACGTTCAAAGCAAGAGTTTGAGGGTAGTCGAGGAGATGCATTGATGATTACGCGACGAATTTTCTGTTCAACTTGCCTACATTTAATACAAATTCTATATTTTCTCGAATAACTTTTTCCAGAAGCAAAAGCTGCTTTGTCCAAAAAAGCATTATTATAATTTGAAGTATCATTCTGAGTTGGGACAATCAAAATCTAATAATTTGTAAGCATTCACAAAGCATTTTAAACAAAAAAGAAAAACTATTTCTTCGTTGATTAAATATTGTTAAATTTATTTTGACCACTAAATTAAATGTATTAAAATTTTAGTTTTCATTTTTTTCCTATTATCACGTTATATTCGTACATACTTTTTTTATCTAAACTTTATAGTGCTTCCAAAGTCGAAACAGTATACACAAATATATATTTATTTGATGATATAGATTTATTACAGTTAAATCAACAAAAAAATCCAATAAAAATTACGTTTGTGAATTTGAGAAGTTAGTTTCGTTTGAAGATTGATTCATACTCAATACCTCGGCTACCTCGACGATTACGTATTTATAATTGTAAATAATTAGTTACGTTAATCATGTAATTAAATAGTTCGATTAAGAACATTTGTTAGGTAGTTTTGTGATATGAAATTTTAATTATCAACTGTATTATTATGGCCCTGTGCGGAGCTATTACTATTAATTATTTAAGGATATTGCACGATAGCTACTATCATTAACTGCTAATTTTTAATTATATGTCAATAGTTGATTTATCGAAATAACTAATCCATTTAATTAACTGATCTTTTACTTATATTGTTTAAATTGTACATAAACATTCAACTAATCTGCTCAGATTCATAACTGACAAGTATATTGTTCGAATACAATATTGTAAACAAGAAAGCGATTTCCATTTAGAAAGTAAAAATTCGTACTGATAACATGTCAAATATTTCAATTTATAAAAAGAAAACGCATTCATTTTAAGGGCTTTGTAAGCGTCTCTTCAAAAGTTTGTTTCAATTGAATCCGTACTCTTTTATAAACAAATAGTACTAGAGAGGCAAAAATATGTGGGAACAAGAAACTCGCATTTTCATAGGAAGCCATATCTTATCGCGGGAATTTTCTCTCAAAGTGAAAGCCGTGAATTAAAATTAAAGCAGCATTGTAACTTAGCTAAAAAAAAGTTTAAAATCTTGGACCTTGTTTCATTCATCTCAAGAGTGGTGAAGGTTCAGAAATGAAACATGTTGAAAAATTACTCATAGTTACGATGAAAGTATGCAAGTTTCAGTAATTGCATCTGTACATAACAATATATTCAATTTCTGTATATTCTTGAAATTTGTTTATGATACTCAAACTTCAGCTTTAAAGTGAATAATTAGAATGTGTACAGTGGGAAAGTAATATAAATGAGATATCATAGTTTGTAAAGTGAATTCCTTGGAATGACAGGACGTTTAATGCCTAAGAGTGAAACATAAATTTTATTTCCAACCTGTGCTTTAAAGCATCTTGTAATCACATATCCATAAATCGCTAATTGTTGGAAGGTGCCACGATCCTCGTTGGTCGTAATGAATTATGATTCTGAGTTACCGACAAAATTAGGTCTAAAAACTCTTCTGCTAATATTCCGAGACTAGCTAATTGTATAAATGTATAATACAACATTAATCTTTAGATTGTGATTTTTCTTACTTTTCTAACCGTTCATAGATTTGTCGGTAAATCAGTCTTCCTAGAATCTAATTAAATAACAATAAATATAATGATCGTAAAAAGATATTCGTTTAAGATACGTCATTGTCATTATTAAAAAAAAAAGCTCAAAGGTTGCAAAGATCAAACATTCTATTACGAATTGTATAATTATTATAATTGTTATTGTTTTGCAGCATTTTATTATTATTAGTTAATATTACTATGAATTAGTATTATTATAGCATCGGTATCGATACTTTGTTTATAATTTTGCCATTATTTAAATTGTGCTCGGCAATTATTCCACGTTTAATTGAAGTAACGTCGATATGAATATTTTTATTCAGCGAGAAATGTTGATAGCCTAGTGGAATTTGTCAATTCCTGGTTGAAGTAAAGTTGTTTTGTCCATTAAAAATTCTATTTTTTCATAAACGCACTATATTACAGTTTTATGACAAAATGAAGTATTCATAGTTCCCTCGTATACAATTTTTTACTGCAAAAAATTTTTTTTGCTCAATTTTCGAATTAAGGATTTTATAACGAATGAATTTCAAGTTTTTATTTTTGGAAAAATCATGACATACGAAGAGAACAATTTTGTGTACTTAATTCACGAAAAAATCATTGTACGTTTAAAATTTTTCGTAATGTAGTAAATTTTTGTACAAAGTATTACAATATAAGTCTGGAATTCCACGAAAAAGGAAAAAACTGTCATAACGTAACAGGCTTCAAACATATACAATGCCTCGGCGAATGTGTGTGTGCGCTTGAAATTGCAGGTGGAGCAAAGATAAGCCGGTAAAGCATTATTGTGTCGACGAAAATATTCCAATTTTTGAGTATGATTTGTTACGAATGGTTGATAGTTCTAACGAAGTGCAAAATAGTCGTAATCTGTGCAGTTGATTGAACGAATCTCGAACAAATTGTTGGAGCCACTACGTACACTATGTATTACAAATATCTTAATTGTAAAGAAATCCTCTAACGTTCTTACGTTATTCTGTGATAATTGACACATTACAATTGTCTATTGATGTTCAGTCGCAGATAGTAACACTCCGTTCGTTTTTACTTTGCATTTTATAACGTCGACGTCGTAAATGAAAAACAAAAATAATCCAACATCTTTGACGTCAAAAGAAAACAGCGTACGGTTGGCCTTTACACGTCATCGAATATTTGTCGAACTGATGTAACGATTTGTAACAAAAAATTTTTTAATAACTTGTTTATTATATATGGGTGTGATTTATGTATGTGCGTGCGTATGTATGGTGCGTGTGTGCCTGTATGTAGGTTTGTGATGTATGTGTGTATGTATGTATATACGTATGTCTGTATACGCCATGAACTTCCAATTTTTTAAACTAAATACATCTTTTTAAAAACTTTTTAACATTTTTACAAATTTTTTTATAGTTTTTGTGTACGAAGAAATAATATTTTTTTGTAAAATTCTTTTTTGGAATCCAGACGTCGATTAATGCGCATAATAAACATGGTGTTCTCAAAAAAAATCTTACGGTAATTTTTATTTCTATAAAATCTATCTAGATATCCCATCAATTATGGAAACATGTATGTCTCACAAGTGAAGCCAAATTTATTTGGTTTTATTGGAAAATAAGTAGCATATTCTCAAGCTTCGTAAGGAATAACGGGACTTGATGTTTCGAGATTCAATTCCGACAGCATAGGATCAGACGGTGACCTTTGTGAGAGATTCGATTGTTGAGCAACTTTTGATGCTTCATCTTTGCTGAGTGAATCAGTTTTGAAAATCCGTCCTGTAAGTACAGTTGCCGTTTTAAATCTTTTGTCAGTTATGACGAAACGTCTATTACGAAATGACTTTTTTCAATCACTCTGCTTCTAGTAATTGAAACATGCATCTAACTTACCTCTAAACTGTCCTAGTATTCTAGAAAAAATTCCCGGCATGTGGTCTTCCGCTTTGTCGGATGGATTATCGCCTTCAATAGGCGCTTTCCTCCGTAAAATTCGCGATAGCGGACGACCTCGATCCTGTCCAAGAGGTTTTGAATTGTCCTCTTTATCTGTTAATCTCAACATCCTCGTTAGAGAATTGAATTTCTGCTTCCTCGACACGTCTTCGCTAGCCTCCGCTCCAGGTATTTCATCGGACTATAAATTATCAAGCCAACATAAGGCTGGTAATTGTTCATGAATTCAAATTAAAACCAGAATACAAAGAATGTTCATATAAGCTCTTGGAATTCTTTCGATGTTGTCTTAGTGCGTATCTAACGAAGTTCGCCAGGAAATTGCAGTAAAGTATGTTTGAAAGAAAAAATAAGAAAAAAAAAGGAGAACAAAAGCGCAAAAAGCCAGACGTAAGAAACGGCCAGCGGAATTTTCGCAGTAGCTCTTTGGCTGGATCTTATCCACGTCGTAAAATCGAGGACAAGATGCCGCTGTGGCATCGGGGAAAGGCGCGGAGGGAGGCAAGAAGGCAAGCTAGTGCGCGACGAGTCTGTCGATAGGAAATCGAAACGCACCTTTTCGCCGCTCGACTTGGAATGTATTCTCAGCATCTTTCCCATTCGGTCGAGAGTGGCGCTCTTCAGACGGCGAACGTCGCGCGCCATCGAGGACGTTGCTGCTGTAGTCTCCTCCTTTGATCCGGAAATCTCAATCTCGCTCCTGGCTGTAGTAGTCGACTTCTTCCAGTCGATTTCGCTGAACCCTTGATGCGCCGCCTCCGACGACTCGCCAAGCCTACGTCCCAACGTTTCTTTTCTTTTTGTTTTGCGACCAAGCGATCTCTCGATTATTGAGAGCTTTCAACGACAGCTATTCATTTTCAACGCAGTATCGCTCGTTTCCCTTTCTCTCTCGGCTCTCCGCGGGGCTTTTTCTATTAAATCTAACTCTCGATTTGTAAAACGGGGTGCAATGCCTGCCGCGCTGTTTTATAGCTTTACTTGGCCATTCCCATTCAATTGCTTCATTTACTACATTTTCACAGCAAAAATAAAACATTCCTTCCATTTTATAACCAAATATGCAAACTGTTGACATTGCGATATTATCATCGTAACCAAAGAAAAAAAATCATCTTCAGAAGCTTTCACGATCCAGCTAAACTGAATATGCTTCTAAACATTAAAAACATAAATTTTGAAAATCATGCAACCACTTTTGTGCTGCGGTTTTCAAACTGTTTAGAAGTAATTTTAAAATGATTTCAAGACGTTTCTTACGACTCTCGACTGGAACACGACGACAACTCGATCGGATTCTCCTTGCTCATTTTAAAATTTCTTTTTGCAGTGTCCTAATTTAAAATTTTATATGTCAGTGGTTAAAATGTCAAAATGACAAAAATGTCTTCAAAATTATTTGCACTATTTCGAAGCATAAAGTTTTGAATATAACTTATTAAAAATACATATACTTTGCTGTAATAACTTGAAAAAATGCTATGGTCGAGTTGGCATCACTCATGACACTTTCCAGACGAATTACAAGGTTGGAACGGTATTTTTTTGTTTTTTCAACATGTGATAACTTTACATTGCGCTATTATATTTTATTCTGGTATTAATGAAAATCGATTATTTTAATACAACAGTGTATACACAACGGAAAGTGGAATAAGGATAAGTAAAAGTGAAAATACTTTTTATTTTTGTCTAAAACATTAATAACCATGTATATTATGACTTATATTTTCAATAATTAACAGCTTTTTTTATTTATGTACGTAACATATATTTCGTTGAACTCATTGAATACGTTTTATTAAAAATGATAAATTATTGGATTTTAAGTATTCCAGTCAAAGCTCATTCATATTTATAATGCGTTTGTTGTAATGTTTATATAATCCATTCGACATTCAAAATATATTACAATTATCATTATAATTCACCGTTTCTCTGACTTTTATACACTCTAACTATATTCGAGCAGAAAATATTCGCGTAAGCGTTTATTTAATCGAAAAGTCATCTTTATTATCTTTGGTACTTGCACAATTCGGTAAAAGTCACATATATTTTCTTGACGATGAACATCTAAGCGAACTTATCAGCTTGCTTGCTCGTTACTGAACGAAAAGCATCCTTTAGGATATGATGGCTTGATGACAAAAAATCAATTCGCTCGCTTCTGTTTCTTTTGAACTTGAAAAACGGCACCACTCGCGTCTCGCGTTCGAGGAAATAAACAAGAGAAAAAAGCATTGCAATGACAACGTCGAGCCATATGCGCTTTATTCAAGTCGATTAGAAAAAGGTACACCGAGTATTAATGCACGGTGTGATCAAGAACAAAAATTGAGAAAACGAAAAGTGTTGGTGTTACATGGTACGCTTCTGTTCGGCGTTTCTGGCAATAAATACCGAAGCGTTACCGTCGCAACATTGTCCAGGCATTGTCAGCGCCAAGAGACACGTATCACAAAAAGTGTTCAGTGAGAGGCGGCGCCCATCGGCGGGTCCTGCCATTTGAACTCCTCCTGGTAGGTGACGTAGACCATCCAGTAGAAAATGATGAGGAAAGTAAAGGACGCCGGGAAGACGACCCTGGCCACTCGATCGATGTGCGACACGCTGTTTATGTACCTCTCGATTCGCTTGCCGTGCTTACGGCAACCGTCCGCCGCCTCGCGCTGACGCCTCTTTCTGCGCGCCAACAGAACAGTCGCAACAGCGTTAGAGACAAGAGCGAATCCCGAACGAATATCTGATTTTTCCGATCGTGTTTCGAGTCGGCTGCTTTGAACGACGCCGAGATGTAAAAATCGAGAAATCAGCCAGTCGGAATTCAGAGAAGCAGAGCGACAACGGCGTCGCGCTTGCGCTGTTTGCACCGCTATTACAATGTTTTATCGAGCTCGATATCTCCAAGGTTGAATGAACGCGTAAGCATGGAAACGTATGTATACACGTGCGATTGTAAAGATGCTGCTGCTTGCGGTGAAAATGCAAAATAGCTAGATGCCTTGTGCTTACGGCAATGAAAGGGGGCTTTCTATTTTTTATTTATTCATTCGTTCGTTCATTCATTCATTCATTCGTGTACGATTTTTTTTCGCGAGCGTCGCGCAAAACACACGGCCGGCCGGCGTTTCTCGCGACTTTATTCAAATCTTATCCGGCAGTGCCTCTCGCGCGCGTGCTCTCCGAAATCACCTCGACTCGTTAGTCTCAACTAACCTGAATGCCATGTCGCCCACGAGGCAGTAAAGAAATTGCTTCCATTTGGGCAGCCAGAGCTCGGTTTGCGTTTGTCTCTCCATCGTCGAGCGCTTGCTACTTACCGTGATAGTCATCGATCGTCGTGGCTCTGGCAAGCTGTACACTTGATCCTGTCGATCAAAATCGATTGTCATCGCGTGCGCCTTGCATTGTCCTCTGTAATCACTCCGCCGAGAGTGCCGAGTGCACCTTCCGTCAAACTACGTTAACCGTCTATTCGACTTGCTCGATTTCGATGTCAATTCTACGAGGCATCTTATCACTTTCGCGTTATATTTACATTAAGATCCATATCCTGATTTTATTCTCACCTGGATTTTTATCGAACAGCTTATCGGCAAACGAGAATCAGCTACAACGATTTTCACTCTCGAGTATTATTATTCCCCTCGCGAAACGCTTTCTCATACGATAGAACCGGAAAGTATGGAAAGAACGATTGGAAAACAACACTCAAAGCTAATTCGAGCTCTTTGTGCTATTTCGTTTGGAAAAAAATGAAAAAAATCGGATTGTAAACGTAGACTTTCAGTCACGGAACTTTTTCCCAGTTTGGAAAAAAAAAAGAAAGAAATCATTGGAATGAAAAAGCGAAGCACAAACAGAGCGCGCACCGATCAAAATGCAAAAACTCTATAAGCGCTGGGGCATAATAGCCGGAACGGGCTAAGCCCCTCGAGAGAGATAGCAAGTGCTCGACGGAGCAAAAAAAAGCGCGTGCGGTGTGAAGGGAGAGCGGCAGAAAGCGGCCGTGGCCGGGCAACATCATCCGATTTCATAGAGCGACTCTTAGCCTCGTTAATTCGCGAGCAGCTCGTGCATCAAACGTAAAAAAAAAAAAGGGCGCGGCCACTCAACGACGACAAAAAAGAAAAACCACGCGCTTTTATTTAACCTCGGCCCCCTCCCCCAGCCGCCCTCGAGTTAATTACGTGGCTTTATCTCGCTATCACGCTTTGCTGCCCGCATATTAAGCCGCGGAATTGTGTCGAAACGCGCGCGCGCGAGGGATGGAAGGAGCGGCCGAGACAATAAGAGCGACGACGGCTGCTTAATTCCCGTGGCGATCTTAACGATTTTCTTTGGCAGGCGCGAGGAGAGGATTCCTCTCTCGAGCGCGCTCAATTATCAGCGCAGCCTTGCCGATTAATTCAAAGCCACTTTCGTTGGAATTCAACTGAAAAATAAATCTTTCCCATCCTATTTCTCTCTGGTTTTTTTCTCTCCTCCCGTCCCGATTGTTCGGCTAATTAGCGAGGGCTCGTGCTGCTATATTTGTGCGATTCACTTTGAAGTCCAACGCGCGCGCGCGAGCCTCATCTCGAAAAGGCTTCTGATGGAAAATTGAGCTGCAATTAGCCTCTGTTATTAATTTCGCAAGAGGCTACTGCACAAGAGAGCAGCGGGATCCCGTTACAATTGTCCGACTCGTGTAAAAATTAATCGTACCACGTGGCCCACGCCAGTGTAATTGAATGAAAAGAGGATTACGCGCTTGCGGGGCGCGATATCTGGCAAAATTGTTCGCGCTTCGCGGCAGGGGCTCACGTTGTAGAGAGCGCAGAAGAGCGAGGAGCCGCGTTTCCTCGAGGTCGTGCTCTCGGGGCAGCCGAGTGTGGTGGCAGCGGTGAAGCCGCCCTCGTCGTCGTCGTCGTCGTCGCTCGGGACGAGCGTGGCTGGCTTGCCGGCAACGTCCTCCCACTCGTTGCTGTCCACTTCCTCCTCGTCCTCGCCCGGTGTTATTGGCTCGATGTACTCCTCCTCGATCGGGAACTCGCCGCTGCCGACCTGACACGCACAAACCTCTATGTATGATACTCGTCATTAACGAATCATTTTTCTTGTTCATTGCTTGCTGCTCATAGTCGAGCTATGCCTCCATTTTATTCGTTATTTAACGCCTCTTCGAATTACGACGGTTACGAAAACTCTTAAAACGCGCCACGGTGAATTTATTATTTTCTTAATTTTTTAATTTCCGAGCTGAAAATTTCTCATTTCGTCATCGAATCGTAATTGATCTCACGGCGCTTGTACTTAGCATTGTTGACGTCATTTGTGACGTTCGTTGATTCGTGGGAATCAAGAGCGGACCGTCGTAAGGACAACAAGCGCGTCCACGAGAATCGTCTCAACGACCGTTACTTGAACGAATCAATCTGCGCGGCTGGTTCTCTTGTTAAAAGACGCATCGTCGAGGACAATCACCGACTCGGCGTGCATCTTTGAAAACGTACGCTCGGTTCTCACAATGCGAGGTGGTTAAAGCACGCGGGAGTTGACAACGATATAGACGACAGCGCGCGGAAACTTGTGCACGGGCGTGCACGTCCTTGTCGCTTGCGCTTACAAATTGACCGCAGAGAGAGAGAGAGAGAGCGCCTGCACCCCATCAAAATCCGTCGTCGTCAGAATTAAAGTCAATTTGCCTCGCAAGTGAGCGGCGAAGCGCAGGCGCGGATCGATGTGCTTCCCCCTACCTACCTGCGCCAGTCAATCTCGAATTTGCATGTTGAAGCGCCTCGTAAAGTCATTGCTAAGTGCGCCCGAGCGACCAATTACGATTTCGCTGTGTGTTGCGCATTAACTGACTTGTCGAGCGGCCGGATCTCTTTCTTTCTCCAGCGACGATATTCCACCTTCAGCCCTCTCTTTCCCACCCCAAGATTTCCGCAGGGATAAATTTTTTAAATTAGAATTATCATTATTATTATTATTATTGCTGGAAGGAGGGCCATATCTGAGCCTTGCGGGATTCCCAATTAACTTTGATGCTGCGGAAACGTTTGGCATACGCGAGTCGTGCGTCGACGAAACTACGTGCTTCAAGCTTGCAATTAACCATTATCAGCTTTATCAGGAAAAAAAGATTGAATATTATATCCTGAGTAGTATAAGCTGATTTGCCATCTCGACAAGACTGCCTCCTATAGTGAGCTACGAGAGTTTTCCAAGCCAGGACGTTCTTCGCGTAGCGCGATGAAAGATTGACGACAAAAAGTTGAAAGAAAGATATTTAATGAACGGAGAAGCAATTTATTTTTAATTTGACCCAGAGGTTAGAACGTTACACGAAGTTGGGGCAATAGGAAAGTCGAGCTTTTTCTTTGGGCATTATTGAAAGTTTTCGCGTTTCCATGAATAAGCGATGGAGGACATTTGAAAGCCTTTGAGGCGCAGCCCTCTGCACGCAAATCCGTCGCGGCACGAGAAATGAGCCGTTGGCCCGCGATAATCAATGTTTTTTCCTCGGGTCGAATTGAAACTGCCGCGATACAATGTTTCGAGCGGCGGCGTCAAAGGGAAATAATTGCACAAACCTTGGTGAAGTAATGAACGCCGGCGAATTCGAGCAGCGTGGCGATGCAATAGCCGAAGCTCATTAGCAGGAACCAGTCGAGCGCCGTGGCGTATTTGACTTTGGGCAGGTCCTTCCGTGAATCCAGGCTAATCGTCGACAAAGTGAGCACCGTCGTTATTCCTGCAACGAAATCGCGCGATGAGCGACGGCCGTCCGGGGCAGGCGCGCGCGGCAGCACGATTTGGTCGCAGTATACCTAGGCCAACTCGATCGCTCGTCGCTTCACGGTGAATCCAAAACGACACCCAGCTGAGCACCACGATCAGAACGCACGGTACGTAGACCTTGGCGACGGGGCAAACAAAAGCAAAGCTGCCTGTAAAATGAGCGCTCGCGCGTTTTGGCGCGGCGTGCCGCAGGCTGTGCGCTGTCATCCCGAGCCAGCTTGCCGCCTTGGGCAGGCTCGCCAAATTAATTTCGGAACGGAGCTACGAATGAGAGCTGACGTTGAGTGACTCGGCGGCGCGTGCGGCGCGCGCGGCGCCCAGCGCTCCCCATTGTCACTTAATTTCCATTGGCTCGTCGGCTCGAGTGCGCGCGCGACATCTCGCTCGCGTTAGCGCGGCGACGCGGACGACTCACCTGTATGAGAAAGTATCCGGTGTGGCGCTGCATGTTGAAGGACACTTGGAGCACGGAGAACTTGCCCTCGCGCCTAACGAAGCTCAGATTCCTGTAGGGGTAGCCCATCAGGTCGAACTGCGACAAAGCCATGCCCGGCACGAAGTTCACGCTGGAATTGTCCTGCCACTCGTACACCAACTGCCCGGACGTGTAAGCGTCTGAAATTTAATAGCCCGCGGGCTCTTTCATTCGCGCCTCGATTCTTGTTTGCGCTCGCCACTTCATTTCCAAAGCCCGCGCTATATTGAATCTCTTGTAATGGATTTCCCGAGCGAGTCGCACTCGCGAGATCTTCATCGATTCTCCCGATCGCGGAGCAAACTTTTTTCAAGCCTTCGCAAGCGAACGAATCGTGTCGTCGTACCTATCAAGTGACATCTTATCTTTGCTCTTTGCTCGAGTTCCGGGACTGTTTGTCCAAAACGCGATAGACCAGATGTTACCGTCTGTTATTGTTTCTTCCCCAGAACCACGTAAGATGGGTAACATTTTCTTTTCCCTCGTCGGCGACGATCATTGAATAACCGACGATTTGCTTTCGCGTTAGAGAGATGCTGATCAAATTCATGACTTTCAAAGACAAACGATAGCACTCGTCGCTCCTTAACATGAGACTACATTGTCGCACATTCGGAATTAATTTTCCTCTCACCTGATTTATAAGGTGCGTCGAGCGTATAATAAATCCTCTTAGCCCGGCTGGAAGTACGCCACGGCGATCACTTTAAAAACGCGATAAAGCTCGAGATCACCGCGTACGACAACCTCAATTATAGAGAGCAAGGCGAGATATTCGGAGAGTTGGGTGTAAGGCAAAACTTGGATATTCCTGCGCGTGCTTTTCCGCGAGTATTGGAAGGAGGGGGGAGGAGCGCATCGCGCGAATGCGTTCGTAATCCATTTTTGCGCACAGCCTGCCCTATACGTGTACGCGTGCCTCTGTGCGCGCTCGCTGGCAAAACTTTTCAGCCCGAATGAATTTCCCTTCCGCCCTGCTCGCACCGCGAGCTAATATCCTTTCTTTCGCGAATACATCTGCCGCGGGATCTTCAGACTTTCTTGCATTATTTTTTTATCTCCCTCTCTCTCTCTCTCAAGTTTGTCACCTATTTTTTTTTTTTTTTTTTTCTTTATTTTCTCGGTGCAAGCGCGCATCTGTTTCCTCGTATTATCCCTCTTGCGCCTCGCGCAGACGAGATTTTTTCCGACTCGCGGATTATACCGGCTAGCGCGCGTCGCCGCGTCGCGCCCAAATTCGTCGCGCGAGCGCGTTTGTCGAGGAATTCCTCGCGGGACGAAAGGGCACCCTGAGCGCCCGCGCGTAACGGCTTTCGTTCCGCAGCCTTGGCTTTCACTTTTGATAAGATTTTCGATGTAAAACGACGCTGCGATACTTAAGCAAATTTGCGCTCGCGTTGTTATAAGATACTTATTCCAACGCGACAATGGTATTACGCGTTTCTTTGACGTTCTTACCGTTCGCGAGGCAAACTTGTGGTCGGCGAAACGCGCATCTTTGAAAAGTTCTGTGCACGGGGGGGGGGGGGGGGGGAGGGGTATGACAAAGCTCGAAGTATAGGAATAACAAGGTACGATAGCACTAAAGGATGGAAGAATAGCAAAAGTTAGAGAAAACGTTTGGAATAAAAGAGCGAGGAAGCGCGCGGCATAGAATCGAAGCGAAAAATTGGATCAATTTAATCGGCAGTCTATGCGCGCGATTGTCAATTTTCTTAATTACGAACGTTTGCAAGTGAGGAAGCGCACCTCTCTCTCTTTTCATCTGTCAGTGAGAAGCCATTCTGATTCGGTGGAAAATTCGTGGAGCGGCAGGGCTACTACGGCCGGATTCGCCGGCAAAGGTAAGCAAAAGCAGCGGCGGCAGTTCAGCCGTGGCAACTTTTAATTAGCCGTCTCCTGGGCGCGGAGAGCTCGAGGGGCGTTCATCGGGGCGTTTAATAGTTTTGCATAAAGGCACTGGCCCACTTCTAAACACGAAAGAACTGGCGTCTGATTAAGCCCAATGCAATTTGCGACTTAATTTTTCCTCGCTCGACAGGCGGCGGCGGCGACGACGACAACGACGACGACGACGACGGCCCGTATAATCCGCCGGCCCCCGGCTGACGAGGAGCGGAGATAAAGAGCACGAAGACTTCTCATCCGGTCTTAATTTTTCGAGACACGTCGTCTCTTAATTTTGCCTCTCGCAGGGCGAAACAATTTCATACGGGTAAGAGGATCTACTCACAGCTGCCGAGAATCAGTGGACAGGATTGCCGGTCCATCGGGAAATTCCTCAAGTCCATCGTGCACTTCGCCTTGATGGTCAGTCTGTGTCGTCAGCGGGACATACAAAGAGACAGATTCAGCGCTTGTGCAACGGGGAAGGTGAGCGGGAGGCAGCACGCCAATCCAGTATTGCCAGCACGAACGTTTAAGGTGTGCGCGCACGTGACTTCTAGACTCTGCCTTCATCGACGAGCGACCCGATATATGACAAATAATACACCCCGCACCGTGAATAACCAAGGAGCCTTTCTTTTTATGAGCCCTCAAGGGCTTAATTAAAAGCCGCTGTAGATGCACTTTTTTGCAATCAAGCTAGTCGTTATGCCACGTACGTGAATATCATTTACAACAAGCTTTTTTATTTGAGTTATCGTTTGAATTTTTATCACCACGATGAAAAGGATAATTGAAATTGATGAATTAATTCGCGCAACAAGAGTCCAACTAGCGAGAATCGCAATACATACAATTCTTACTCGCTGAATGCTCAGTGGAATGGAGAACATTATAAAGCTAAATCAAACGCCCGTGCGACGTAGCATGCTGATTCGCTCGAGCGTGCAATACAGCTTCACCGTAACTACACAATTTCAAGTACGAGACGAGAGACGTGGATTTTGCTTTTCGGACAATATACGTGGCACACCTTCGTTACGCCGCGTATAAATCCAACTTAGTCCTGAGAACTTAGAACCTTAATGGAACTTAAATTTTACCTTACGAAACCTTTACATATTCTAAGATATTGCACAAGTCCTTCGTTATAAACGAGTAAGCACGAGACACCCACGCTTTTTTTTTTTAAACAAACTAGTCGCGTATCGCTACCAGGCATCACCGTCGATCAAGCAGTAAGCTCAACCGCGACTTTTTTTAATGTCCATCTACAAAGCATTGCAAAATTTATCCTATCCGGTTCTACACAAGTTAATAACTTATTGCTTTTCTGGTCACAACCGAGGTTCAATCGCCCTTCAAACTAACAAAGAAACTCGATCAGCTCTCATTTTCCCGCTTAAACTGATGTCGGTAGATTTCTGTCGCGATCGACGTCGTAATAGGATACGAATTTTAACTTTTCTCGACTTTCCACTGCTGGTGCACATTTTCTTTTTTAAAACAGTATTGCATTGAACTTTCACCAAGGAAGAATTTTATTACGATTATCGTGATTTGTGCTCTTGTTGTGTTAATTTAAAAATTCGGAATACACGATCCGGTCAGTTAAAATATTATCCCTCGCGCCCGAGCAAGGCTTTCACGAACAGAACGCGTCAAAGTAATTTCATTAAATCGGAAAGGGGAGATGAAGAAGTTTTTCTGCAGATTGACGAATTGATTCTAAAAAAAGATACTGTGAAAAGAACTTTAATTGTTTTAGTACCAGTACCGTAATAACGTTTTTTCGAGTTTTTATGTGATTGTCAGTCGATTCCGTGAAAAATATGAGTTTTCCATGATGAATATGACAAAAGAAGAACAATGAAAGAAACAGAATAGATGAGAGAGGCAAATAGAACACAAGTAGAATAGAAAAGGCGTCGAAGCAGGAGAAAAATGCAAAAACAAACCTCATCGAATAGAGTATGTCACCCTCTTGAGTTATTCTCAGCAATTTGTTGGGCACGGTAATGGTGTGCACGTAGCTCTGTTTCCCATTGTAAAAATAAGTGTCTGGCCGCCAGATCCTCTCGAGCATCTTGATGCTCAGACTCAGTGACTTTATTGGACCCAGGAAGCTGAGGCGCGAGTCGCGCCAATATTGCCGAAAATAACAGTCCATCGAATAATCCTGATAATTAAAACGCGTGTATCTTTTATTAGTACAGAGAAAATCGACGTCCGCCACCCTTTCTTAAACAATAATGTCTTCTAAAAAAAAAGATAGAGAAAAACATTTATTGGACAAATTGTGCTTTTCATTTGTGCCATTGGTCGATAGAATGAACGATGGGCGTATCCATATCACTGAAGAATCGTGATATCAATTTTTTTCCGAAAAATCGTAAAACTAATTGAAAGTTGAAAAGCCGCACGAAAATTCAGACGAGCAACTATTTAAATTAGAACAGGGATCTTCCTGCGATCTCCGAGCGCATTTTTCGCGTTTAACTATTCGGCGTCGAAGGGAACATTAATTTGCGAAATCGCGAATGCCTCGGTCATCTCGCGCGCGCGTTGTGTGTGTGTGTGTGTGTGTGAGGTGACAGGCCAACGGGCATACATATATATGTGCCGATGCGTTGGGAGAAAGGGAGCCCTGACGTTTGCACCTCCTCTCTCAACGATGCAAATTGTTTCGGAAGCCCAAGCGTCGACCAAAGTTTTGAGCTCGTTAATTGCGGAGAAAAACTTCCGTTGCGAATATTCACCGCCGCGTTGTTGTTATATCAGTTTGTAAATTGAGTTTGACCGCGCGCCGCTAGAAGGCAAGTTTTTCTTATTAAGAATTATACTCACCATGTCGAGCTCTGAGATGGGACCCATACTACGGATGTAGATGTTTGTTTTCACTATGGTCGGTCTGCCTGCAAAAAAAGTCGAACGACATTATTCATCGGTAACGCGATGCCGGTTGCTTTGTTTGTTCATTCATCGGACAAAAAAATAAAATAGAAGAACTCGTTCGAAAATCGACGAGAGGGCATATCGAGCGTGAAAAAATCTCGCGCATCGATTGGAATTCTTAATACCCGCGGATTTGTTCTAGCGAACTGATCTCCAAATCGTTTCGCACATTAGCAGCGGAAGAGCGAGCAGACAAATTACAATCGCAATCGACGAACAAATACGTGCGCCCGCGCGCGCCACCATCTCTGGCAATCGCACTTATAAAAAAAATTACGATCGCGAAAGGAAAAAAGTAAAAGCAAAAAGAGCGCCAGCGAAAAAGAAGGCACGTGCACGTCGCGCGATGTTTGCTGCCAACAAACAAAAGCAAATCGTCAACCGACGACAACTCGTCTCAGCGAGCTTGCACATACTACCAATATCGCGTTTTCATGGTTCTCGCTTCAAAGTGCTATTTGCGAGTGTGTCGTTGTATTTTTTTTTCCGCGACAGCCACGAGATGGTTAGACTGGAGTTACTCGGCGTGCAGCGTAGGATTCGTCGCTCTGGCTAGCGTCCAATTCGTATCACTCTAATGTCCGTATCGAAGGCAGCTCGTGGCGAAAAGAAGGACGGTGAACGCACGCGCAGCAGCAGACACGAAAAAGGCGATGATGCAGATACGAAGATAGTCGCTTGACACGCCAAACGGGGAGAACAAACATAATCACACCTTTGCATATTTCGCCGATGGAAAAATATGTAGTATAATCTTTTAATTTAAAAATACCAGGTAATGATTCGTAATTTACTTTGCACTATTAAAAGATCTTAACCTATACGTTATTCTTGAAGTTTAAACGCTCCATTTCGATGTGTTATCGAATTCAAATTTCGAACAACAAATAAATAAAGATAGACTTGCGCACTAGCATGATGCGACTAGTATAAATTACATTATTTAAAATATTTAATATTTAATTAAAATATTTAATTGAGAAAAAGCACACATAGGTGTGTTTTAAAAGTTACTTGGAACGGTTTACACAATATCATAAATTAATAGCGATATTATAAGTATAAGCCGATCAAATTTCGCAATTCAAATTTTATGGAGAATGTTCGTGAAATGAATAAAACATTGCGGTAACTAAATCGTATCGCGAAAGGTGTTCTGCCGTAAAAGTAGTATATGAAAATATTCAATTGCATATTCAAGTTTGGTAATAATTTTATCGTGTATGCGATGACCACGGTATAAGAACATCGCGTAAACATTCCGTGGGAATGTCAGAGACAACAAATAAAATAGAATAAAAATAGCGCACCCTAGAATGTGGAGCAAAGACGAGTGGCAGGGCAACGGAAGTATAAGACAAAGACGAGGAACGCCGACAAGAAGATGACGGATGGTAAATTACGGCCGAGGCTCGGAATTTCGCGAGACGCAAAATCATCCTTTGAGGCGAATCGCGCGCACAGATTAGGATTGGCATGCGCGTATGCTTTCAGTTTCGAAGCAACGAAAGAACGTCCCACACTGCTCGCCGTGTCGTGCGTTTTTAGAGAGATGAATCTCTCGCTCTTTTTTTATTTTATTTTTGTTTTGCCATTCCATAAACAAGAAGCACGTAAACTTTTTTACCCCATGGCTCGAGCTTGTGCTTTGCGCGTGGATCTGAAAGTTTTCATTTGACCAACAGCTTTGTTTTTACGAGGCTGTTTTTCGCTTTATGCCATTTCTACGCGCAAAACTCCACGTTTTGTCGGAGATTTATAAGGCACTCGCGTTATAAACTTGTCACTCGGGAGGAATTCTTTTAATTTTTAATTTTTACGCTTTTGTAAAGTTTTAAAAAGACATCGTATGGATTTGACGCTACCGAATATTGCGAAGTGGTTCTCGATGTTTCTGTTATGCATCACTCAACGAAAATCTAATTTATTGTGATTATATAATCAATAGATTGTAATCTGAATAATTTAAGGGCATTTCAAATTTAATCACGGACCTCTAAATAGAGATTTGTTTAATTAATTAGCCGCTGTAGAATTGTCCGTAAGCCGGATAATACTTCTCCAAAGCTTACTATTTGAAAATCTATTTGATCCTCAGAGAAAAAGAGGAAGAAAGTCTGAAAATATTCGTTGCATTTGGAAATTCTAATAAAGTTGTTCCGGGCACGAAACTCACCCTTTCCGTGCGTCGGCAGTTGACTGTTTTCGTAGTTCATCAGAAGATTTTCCAGTACCATCGTAATGTTGCGCGACACAATATCGTTGACAGTTCCACGTGGCGTTCTGCCGATCGTCACTGGCTCCGTAAAGCTGTCGGTCAGATTCACAGCGGAAGCCTCGCGATTTCTTCTCGCCGAGTGACTTTGTGGTAGCGACAGCACAGCCGCCAGCCTGAAAAAGACTTGGTTCAGTGGCAGAGAGATTGGTTTCTTCGGCGGCCGTGATCCTTTGTGCCGCGCGAGCGACTTTTCATTTTTTTTTTTTTTTGATTGAAAAGTTATATTGGAAAGTGTAGGAAATCCAGCCAAAGGAATATCAAAATAAATCATGCTCAAATTTGAGAAAGAAATTCGTACGGCTACCATCAGAATGCTAGAGGTTAGATTCAATGATATCAATGCTTAATTGTCGTCTTATTTACTCTAAAGAAGTCTGTGTATGTAAGTACGGTAACAAACGTGCATCACGAATAAATACCGATATACCGTTGAGGTAGCTTGAATTTTGCAATGCCCGGATGAATAACGAATTAATATCGAAATATCGGCTTGGAGATACTCGCCGAGCTACTTGCGCGCCGCAGAGATTAGCCCTAATTGAAAGCCCTTCTCTGGTTCTTTTCAACGACAGGTACTGCAGCTTTTACTGTAGATATTGATAAGCATTTTTAATTTGCCAGGAATTCAGCGAAATAGAAAATCCCGAAAATGTTCGGCCTGCGCAGTAGACATAGTCGAGGACAAGTCAGACGTATAAACCAAAAACGAAAATGTACACAGCAGCAATGCCGGGATTGCTTGGCGCGGGAGGATCTTGAAAATTGTCAATCTGGCGAAGAATCCAACGGCCTGCGGTCGAAGCCGCGCGACGAAAGTGCGGGAGCTCTCCGGAATACCTCGCCGCGATATCATTAGGTACACAGACGCTGGCGCGCATACGCCTGCGCGACGACTTTGCCGTGGCGACCGGAGTTACGTAAGCTATGCGGCGACAACTCTCGTGTGCCTCTCTCTCTCTCTCTCTCTCTCTCATTCTTGTTCTTCCCATTCCCGCCTTTAGCGCCTCCCAAACGAGCGCGTATGTAGGGCCGATCGAAGCCCTCCCTCGAGAGTCCTTCTCTTGCGCGACGCGGCAGCAGCGATACTCGTTCGGTCGTTGCCGTTTTTGTCACACTTTTACATGCCCCTCCCCGTAGCGCTATCTCGACCATCGACGCCCTTACGTCGGCTCTTTTTTTCTTCCTCTTTACGTGTATATACGTATAGCGCCGAGGGCCTGGCCGTCCGTCGCTCGGCGCTGAGGCTTTTCTCAATGCGCGACTGGAGTGCCGTTTTCAAACTTGATTGGCCCATTGTCTTTGTTTCTCGAGTGCAGCGATGTTGGATGAGGGTGCTATTAGCGAATTTTCCAGAGCAATAATCAGCGAGAATCACCGGGGAATCCCTTCCCGTGGCCGATTCGGCGAGCTCGAGCGATTGTCTCGCGTCATTGTTAATAGCGGACGCTTGTGCCTCAACAAAAACAATTGCGCGTCATGACGTACGAGTCTCGTATTTTGTCGATTAAAAAAAACAAGTATATCGGCAAAACAATGATGAAAATACAATACCTAGCAATATAGGCTCTGTAGAGCTCCCTTTGATTTGGCCTTACCGTATGCGTCATGGCTTACGAACATCGGTGCACGTGGTTTCTCGTGTGGCAATAATTCTTGAATATTTCCCGGGACATGCAGAGAGCAGAAGGTTCACACGCGCGATGTGCGTATCGTTTGTGTGGCTGCTTGCCAATCAAATAAAATATCAAGCGCAACGGATAATCGATATTCGCGCGACGTGAATTCATCTCGAATGCGTGAACAAACGCTACACGTAATAACTTTTCAACGTAGCTTGATAATGGCAAGCGATAAAGAATCGGCATGCTTTATCCGTGCCAAAATAAACGAAAGAAAAGACATAACAGCCGCAAGCGTTATTTATTTCGTTAAAAGCTCGGAAATTCATCCCGAGCAATTTTTCGAGCCGAGCAACGATACATCAGCGTGTGCTTAGTGTTAGAGCAGCTCGCGAACTCTGGAACAAGCCACGAAATTGCCTGCACGCAGTGTAAATACCTGTCGGGGCCGCAACGCTCCGCGAGAGATACCACGTAAAGCCCGGTTCTCCGTCGGGAGAATTCCAATTGGGCGGCAGCGCCGCGCGCAAACGAACCAAGGACGAGCGAGGGCCGAGGAAGCGCGGCGAAAGAGAGCCCGGCGAAATCGCGTCGCCGCTCGCCGAAAGTAGCCACGGCGCGTATACGTGAGCGGCCTTCGCGCGTTATTTACGAGCCCCCGCGACGACTTCCAGGTTGTACGTGTGGGCGAAAGCGAGAAACCGTGTTCGCTTCCTTCCGCCCCGTGGGCCGATCTCGCAGTTCGTCGAGCGTGCTACGCGACCTCGGGCTGCGCTGCTGCTCGCCTCGCGCTACAGCCTCCTGCATTCGATAATTGACCCCAGCGGAAACTTAACTGGTTTTATATGGACGTCATCGGCGCGATGCATGCGCGGGATTTCAAACTTCTCTGCGTCGTCGATTTCTTCTGCTTTTTCAGGAAATTCTGCCTCCTTCGCTCAATAAATTATGCGCTACTTTGCTTTTTTTTTCTTATCAAACTGATCTTAATTTATCAAGAATCTTAAGAATCGGTAATTTTATTTTTGTAAAGAACAATGTGAGGTTACATTATAATTAATCTCCCTTTGCTCCACGATACTTTTTTGCTGAGCCCAAATTGGGATTTTTTTAAATTATCACGAATAAATTTTGGTACATAGACACTCATTATAAAAAATGATTAAGATATTGATCTATAAATTCAGCTGCTGTTGTCATAAATGAAATAAATATTATTGACTTCATAAACTACATTTCATTTAATATGAAAGTTTGCGATTCGTTAAAAATGCGACTTGAACAATGGCTGATAAACGCTTCCTTTTCCACCGAATATTTTCTGGAGATTGTTTACTTCCTTTAAATTATTAAGTCGATTATTATTAGCTTTGAACCCTTTTCGTTGGTGGTATTTCGATTCAGGATACTGAAAATTGTTGGAATATCATTCATCAATTGAAGATTTCTTGTTAATTGCCGTTTTACCACTTGAAAGTGAATTCTTCACAACTTTCTGAAATGCTAAATCGTTCGTGTATTATGGCTTTGATTATGACTCAAAAATACTTGAAAAAGAATTTTATTTTTTTAAAGAGTATTCATGGAAATACCCAAGCTTTCGTTAACGACTGTTTTTGTTTTAATTGTCGCCTACTAATTAATACCTTTCTAACAATTGGTCAAAGTTTTACGAATCATTCAAGTGAGGATGGTTGTAAAACTTACAATCAAATAATACGCACTTAACTGAAATGACTGAGGGTTATCGCAAAAATTAATAGCTTTACGTGAGTATAAAAATTTTGAAGGTGGACTATCAAACGACTTATCCTATCTCATTGTTTTCTTCTTAAAAAAACTTATTTCGTAGCTATCTTTGTTTACAAAGCTAAAATTTTATCGAAAACAATAAACTTTTATTCCTGTAATCGCGCATCTTTACATTCAAATTGAGCTCAATCAGATCAACAGTTTTGGTACTTTTTTTTATTTTGTACGTATTACATCCACACCCAATATAACATCTATGTAGAAGTAAGACTCTCATTCAATTTTTTGTCACATCCAATTACGCTATTATCGCGAAGGTGAATAAAGTATATCTAGTAGTTTGAGAAAAAATATAGTTAGTCACCATAAAATATTCTCGCACGCAACCCCAGTGAACTGCTAATGTACTTTCAGGATCTATAAATTTTTAAGGATCACAATGAGATACTTAGAAGAACCATTTGTTGATTGTTGATTGAAATTACGTAAGCCGAGCTCTAGTCCTGTACTTTTGTGCTTGGCATGAAAGTATTTCTCATTCGAAACTACTTCTATTTAGAAAAAGGTGTACTTATATTAATATCACACGAACAAAAAAAGTAATAAAAAATATAAAGGTTGGAATTGTTGAAATAATTCTGGTACAAGAGTTTTGCCATAATCGAACGCATCGTGGGATTTCAACGTTTCCGTATATTATAAGCGAATGTATTGACGCTGAAGGGATAAAAACTTTATACATAGTTCTTGTAATTTGTTAACAACATGTTACAACAAATTTTGCGTAATGGTTTGAACATTCTTTATTGAAGTATCAGTGGATAATGAATATTTTTTGAAGCTGTTTAAACGTTATATCTGTGAGACGATGCGTCAAAAAACAGCCATATTCGTGCAACGTAACGTTATAGGGTATAATAATATTATCGTTAATTTGCAAATAAAAGCGAAGGAGCATTTTTCATCATATAATTTTCAGTTAAAATGGATTAATAGCGTAAGAAGTAACGTTTGATCTCTTTATTATTCAGTTGTGCATTTTAACGGGCGAGAAAAGCAAATAAACTACACGACAGTGGCACAATTACGGCTGTTGATAGTTGCGCGATGGATTCCCAGTTTATGACGACTAAATGACGCAGAAATGCATTTTTTGTTTTCAATAAATTGGCTTATTAGCGATTATCGCTTTATCGAGAAGTTATAATGGTATAAAATTATTTGACTCCATGGTTTTCATTTCATATTATTCTTCGAAAAGGTTTTTTCCGGAAAATAGTTTGAACAGACTTCCTTCTCTTTTCATGAAGCACGAAAAATGGACACTTTACCCGCGTATGTAATTTTACGCATTAACGGCTCTGCATGGTCACTGGGCTTTGTAACCGTGGCAAAAAAATGTCAAAAATACTTCTCGGCTACTGACGAAAATAAAAAAAATGAAAAAAAAAAAAAACAAGTCGAACGGATACCACTTGTCGGTATAATACATACATACATAGGTATACGCATACAAAAATAGAGAAAGATATCGCGTCGTTGCAGCAGCACGTACACTCGTTGGCTTTCATCGCGAGTCGCACTGGCAAAACTTAATACCGGAAGCCGGGCGCTCTCTGACGTGGAAGTTTGCGTTTCGGTCGAAAAGCGAGTGGTCGCATCTGCTGCGCGCGCGTGAAAAAAAGTTTTAATTTAAATCGCTCTCTCTCTCTTTCTCTCTCTCTCTCTCTCTTTCTCTCTCT